TGGAGTGAGATTTTTTTTCATGTGTAAAAGGTATTGAAAAGACACCTGCTTTGTCCATCTCATAGAGTCTTTTTTCTCCCAAAGATTTAATGAAACATTGTAGATAATCGCATTTTGAAAAATAGAGCGTTACATACAAAGAAAGGTAGAATTATTATTAATGGGAGCCTCATCCCACACTGCGTGCAAAGCCTGCTGTTTAGGAGTGTTCAGAGTAATTGCCCGCCTTCTGTCCTGACTGCCTGACAGCCTCATGACTCAACATGGGAAAGACGGGAGATTCAAAAGCTTCATTTGTTTTTTTCCATGTGGCATATTTGACATATGTACTTGCAATTGCAAGCAAATGTTGTCAAGTCTTTTCTCTTCTCTGAAAGACGTGAAAACCTTCAAAGAAGGAAGTCAATTCTTGCAGAGTTTGACAGCTGTTTTTAACTGTCTCCAAAGATCAAAGCGCAGCTCGGGAATGAGGGGGAAATGATACTGGTTTCTTTTCTTAATCGGGATCTTACAGTGCAGAGGCAGCAGAGATGAACATTAAAGACCAAAATGGCCAGGATTATGAATTCTGTTCCCCAAGATGGCTCAAAAAGATGGCTTAGAAAAGACAGGTTTGCCGCTGTCGTGCAGATGGTGGGATAAGTAGGCTGACGTTATTATCACCGCTTTGCAGATGAAGACACAGGCCCAGGGATGCCAGGTCACAGAGCCAGGGAAGGGAGGTGTCAGGACTCAGGCTCTGGTGTTCTACTGCAACCTCAGGAGCGTGATACCCTCTGGCTTCCGAGGGTGAGTGCTCCATTTACTACAGTCCTTCTTTCTTTCCCATCCTGTTCCCTTCTTCCACTTTTTCTTCTTCCTCCAATTTACGCCGATCACCTTTATCTATGGGCATTAGCTGAGCCATGCCAGTGCTATCACTCCAGCCAAAACCGACTGCCGCTTCGTGTGCTAGACTTTAAGGGTGTCTGGAATGACAGCATTCAGAAGCGGGTGACCAGGTCAGTGGAATTCTAGAGCCACCTGATGCGGGCCCCACAGACTATTCTCGAAGTTACTTTCTGAAGTCCGGGAGTGCGATCAAGCCTGTGGCGTCCAGGGTCCTCCATAAAATTGAATTAGAGTGCTGAGTGAATTAACTGTTTGCTCCTCTTCTTGTGCGATGCATTTTTAATTACATTTCATAAAAATGTCTGGCTGGATTGATGGAACTTTATTTAAACTTCAGATCGGCATGGGGAGCAGACGATAGTGCAGTAGAACATGTTCTGTTAGTACGGGCTCAGAACACGTGTACTTTATGGCAGTTCCACTGAATCTTTGATGTGGGGCTACTTAAAAATATATTACCTTTGAAAAGATTTCCTTTGAAAGATAGAGTGGGTGCTTTAGCAGCCTGTACGCCGTCAAGCAGATGATCAATTGACAAACACATCAGCACTTATAATTCACTGCGCTGGCTCCCCTGATACATGCAAAACATGGGTTTATTTCAGAAATAGAATATATATCTCAAAATCCCTTTCATTCACATTGCACGGTTTATGAGGCAAGTCTTGTCAAGCCTAGGCCCTTCACAAAAAAAGAAGAGTCTCTTTGGTCTGTCTGCCCCGCCTTTCCTATCAACATGGATTATTTCAGGCTCTGAACTGGGCATACGAAGTGAAGAAGGAAAATAGATGCTCCTTAGAGTAAACAGCAGCCCAGACCCCAGCCGCGGAGGGAGGTTATATTTCCTCTTGAAGATTGTATTTATACTTGCAAAAAGCTATCACTGTTCTGCCAGAATATAATGTTTTCTTTTTTTTTTTTTTTTCCCTCCATGAATCCTTTCGATGGAAGCAGAAAAATTGTGGTTTTTTTCCCTGGAGTGGAACTGTTTACAGTGTCCCTAAAGTGCTGGGTTAAAGGGCTGGGCTCAGTACCTGCCTCTCCACAGCTCTGGGGCCTCCATGGTCAGGATGATGAAGGTTGCACTCCTCCAGAGTGGAGCTGGCTGAGGAAGAAGATGGGTGTGCTATGTGCCCCTTAGCTTGATCTGCGGTGGGTTCCTCCTTGTGTGTATCCTGACAGTCCTTGGTTTCTAACTCTATGAAGAAAAAGTGCAGACTCATGGGTCTTCAATGAGTTGAGTCCGTTGGCTTAGTAAGAATTTTTTTTTAAACCCCAAAACAAAAGGCAGAACAAAGAAAAACTGTCCTCCCTTCTCCCTTGGGCAAAGGAAGTGGATTTGGCCCAGCAAGGATACCATTCTCGGGTGGCAAGGAGAGGGTGGGCGTGAGCAGCACATCTGAGACTGTGCAGCTGGGTTTGCCAACTTCTGCCACCAGCAATGTGTGCTCCAAGGCAGACTCAAGTTTGTGGAAGGCCTGGTCTCTAGGAGGGGCAAAACTGAGCAGATGCCATGAAACTGTTGGTTGTGGATTCAATTTCTTTTTTTACAAAGTCTAACGTGTAATTTGAGCTAAGTCTGGTAGTTGGTATGGTAGCCAAAAACACATCTTTGACCCACCTACTCCTATGCTGGCTTGGCACTGCTTCGCCTTTGACCTCATTGACCCCCAGCCCCCAGCCCCTTGGCAACCCCTCCCTGTCTTCCCTGGAGTGGGGGAAGCTGACTTGGAATTCCAGTAGTCTTGGGTCACTGGGCAACACAATGGTGTCACGAACTCACTGTCCCTGCTGCCTAGGTCTGGTGGCAGCTGGGGGCTCTTATGACATCACATGTGGGGTCCTATGGCAGGAGCTTCACCCCATCCTGGCACATATTGGCACCAAGCAAATGTGGAGGTCTTCCAGAGGGACAAGGAGGCATCACGGGCATCTCCCCAGCTGATGGCAGGAATCCAGGTGCCCTGAACCCCTCATCTGCCACCTGCAACATGATGGGGGGCACTTCTTGCTGCTTACCAGCCTAGCCTGTTGAGGGGCAACCTCCAGTCCCAGCCTCCTGCCACACACACTCATGGAAAGCAGCAGTCATTCATTGTGGACCTTCCTGTGTGATCTCCGTGACACTGACCCCTTCTGTGGTGGAGTCCTCTGCCTGGCTCCCTGCTTTCCCTACTAGCCTGCATGGCCACAGTGGCGGGCATTCGGCCACCCTTTCCACTTTCCACCCAGCCCTGGACTTCTAAGATGAGGCCCTTTGCAGAAGGAGGCCTGGGCTGGAGACTCAGCCTTGCTTCCCCTCACTGCTGGTCTGGCTCCACTTCATATCCTGGTTCCAGTAACTAAAATGTTTATGATTCCTGTGGTTACACCCCCTTATGGTACCCCAGTTTCACCCACTGTATCCCACTCCAGTCTCCCTGCAGCTGGGGAACAGCTTGGTTTCCTCGGAGCTCCAGGAATCCTGCCCCTAAATCCTAGTCCAGGCAGGGCCTGGTTTCTGAGCAGTCCCTCCTGAAGCCACTTACCGGTGAGCTGGACCTCTCAAAGGCTGCCCACATTGTGTGTCTCCTGCTTACTCAGCTCAGTGCCCAGCCTACCTAAGGCTCACCCCATGGTAACCCAATGGTTGGCCTGCCCAGTCGTTTAGGGAGAATGCCCAGATCTCTATCCAGCAAGATACCTGAACCTGGTTCATTCTCATGTGCTTATCTCAGCCCCTGCCCTGCCGGGGTGGCTGGACTTCCCAGCATTGCCTGCAGCCCAGGCAGCTCTCAAGTGTCCACCCAGAGGTGGGTGTGGCTTGGCTCTAGCATCGGCCAGCCCGGGCACTGCCTGAGCACTGCTCTGAGATGAGGGTGGCAACAGGAGCACACGTGAGCAGATAGCTGGGTATGTGTGTTTTCAGCAGAGGGATGGGCTGTGGCCCCTCTTGGTAGTTTAATCAGCTGTTCTTTGAGTGCCTTTGAATAATAACTGGACAAGTCGAGGTGGGATTCATTTACTCAGAGTCAGCCTCTCTCTGGGGGAGGTCGCTGTAGTCCCTAGGGACTCAGTTTAATGAGTTTTGAGCCCACAATCTATTTCAGCAAGAATGGGTTTGAGGTCTATAATTTCCCCAAACTTAAAACAATCAGCTTTGCAGCAGATCTGGAAGATCGTCCCTTAGCTGTACCCCGGTGGGTAAGAATCCTTGTCTTTTGCCAACCCACGGAGTGGGCATTGAATCACTCAATTACTGCAAAATCTTTTCTAAATAGAACGCATACCACAGCCTCCAGTGGAAACATTCCAAGATCTGCCGCAAATATCTAGCTCATTGGCAGAAGCAGGTTTTTGGCATGAACAACTGTTTTTCACTTTGATTTTGACTCCAGCAGAAGTTCTGCGAGATGACCTGGGAAGAAAGTTGGCCAAGAAGCCTCCGAGGGGGGATTGGCATGTGAGTGTATATGCCTTACCTACGCTGTCTTCTGAGCTCCAGCATGCAAGGCATGTGGAGAATGGGGTGCTGTTTGGGAGGCTTGGTTCACCCTACTCAGTCGAGAAGCATGTAATACATAGGGCAGTGAGAACATTTGCAACGCACTTAGGCCGAGAGTCAGTGTGGCTGGTATTGTGAGCTGTCAGCTTTAAGTTTACGACATTGAAACTCAGCTTGGGAAGGAGGAGAAGACAGAGGGCGGGTGGGGCTGTGTTTTAATCCCAGCTCACTCAGCCTTTTCATTTTGGGAGCCATGCACGTCCAAACAAAGCTCTCAGCGGAGACTTCAATGCGGTGCCACTACTTAACCTTACAACAAAGAAGCTTTCCGATCATTTGTGCAGCCATGTCTGCTTTAGGCAGGTGGAGTGACACCCTACCTATGGGCCATGGGACGTAATAAAAAGAGCGGAGAGATTCTAGCACCAGACTCATCTGTGCAAAATTTCACTCTATTCTCTTCTTAGCTCTATGACCTTCAGCATGACACTTGAGAGGGGCCTCCTCTCCACACCTTCGGTTTTCATATGCACGAAACTAGAGAAGGCTGTCTGCTTCATTCCCTGTTGTGAGGCTTCAGTGATCTCCTGGAACGAACCCAGGTAAAACCCCATCAAGCAGGCAACAAATTAAGGCCAGCACTTGAAGGATTAAATACTGTCATTGTGGGGTCTAACGTTCTGGTGAACCTTTGAACCCCAAGGCAGAGCAGGATCTGGGACTGAAACCGGTGACTTTAAAATTCAGCACAGCCGCTGGGCAGCGGATCTTCCAAGCCTTTCCAGGAAGCCTCAATAGGAGTTTGGTTTGCCCACCATCTCTGGGTCAGGCTGGACACTTGGCTGTTACACGTGGCCTTCTGGGCTGACTGCATGAGTGTGGCCCCTCGTCAGCCTGTCAGGACACCTCCTCCTGTTGGGGCTGTGCCTCTGGTTGCAATTTGTCCTGGACATGGCCGGCGCGGGGCTCCGGTTGCAGCCCGTGGCCCAGCACACAGAACTCCGGGGGAGATGCCTGCCTGCCGCTGCCCTGTGATTCAGGGGCGCAGGGGCTGCTCCCTGGTTCTGCATCCTTCTTAGGGCTCTCCCCACTGCTGCTGTTGCTGCTGCGAGAGAAAGGACAAGGGCAGGTCAGACACTCGTCCTCTGCGGCTCTTTCCCACCCCATCCCCTTCCTCCGTTCTCCCTTTCTGTCCCTCCCCAGCTCTCTCCCACAGGCCTGTTCACCCTGGAGGCCAGGCCTCTGACGTCTGTACCAGGCTTGCCGGGCGGGTGCCGCCGTTGCCATGTGTCTGCAGGGGCGGGTGCTGCGGGCGCTCGGGTGACAGGCTGAGTCCTGTTCTTTCCCCTGAAGCCCTGGATCCTGCTGCTCTGAACAAAGCAACCCTCTCAGAAGCTCTGGGAGCGGGCCTTTGTTTTGTTTTTGTTTTTAAAGCACTTTGTTTAATAAGGGCTAAGCTTAGCCAGTTGAATCAAAGAACAACAACAACAACAACAACAAGGAAAAAAACCAGCTTCTCGCAGCTGCCACCCTCTCCCTGAATAGAGAAAAATGCAAGCAGCTTGGCCCAGCCCAGGCCCCGAATTTGGCTAGAACAGAGCTTCCCAGCTGCGGCGCGACACAGCTAGGAGGGGCTTTGCATGGGGTGGGGACCCCCACAGGAGCCTCCGTGGGATTTGGCATGCGTGGGAGTGCAGAATGGAGGGTGGCCCCCAGCAGGGAGAAAGCTGCTGCTAGCAGGGGACCAGCCCAGGAAGCCACCCTGGCCGACTGCTAGCAAGACAGCCTGAGGCTCCCCGGGGGGGGAAATTAGAGGCTAGCTGCCTGGGTTCAAGTCCTGACTCTCTGGCTTACTGGCTGTGTCCCCTGTGGCATGTTAGTTCATCCCTCTGCGTGTTAGTTTCCTTCCTTATAAAATGGAAGTAATAACAGTGCCCATCTCATCAGGCACTCATAGGTATCAATACTGGGTGAAGCATGGGTGACCTTTGGCATACTATTATGGTAATAGCATAAGTCCTCCATGGTGGGTGGCGATACTGTGGTGCCACACTGTTGAATGAATAGGAAGTCACACTAGGAAAGGGCTCTAGGGACCACACTATTATCCCACGGAGACTCTGGGGCCTTGGTCCGAGCTCTCAATCTGTCGCCTCAGGGCCAGGACAGGACCCTGGTTCCGCAAAGGCAAGAAGGCCCTTCTCTGCCCATGACCGCACATTCTTGCCTGATCTGTGAGCTTTGTTGTGCAGTGTGCTCAGCTCTGTGAGGTTAGACTTAAGTGGGATGCCAAACCAGTGGAGAATATGTTTGCATTTGGATCTGAACAAAATCGAGGTGGGTGGTGGGAGTCTCGGGTAAGTGAGGTGGGCGCGAAGACAGCACACAGCTATGATTGTCACACAGGAAGGAACCCAGCCCACTGTACCATGGAGACAGTCTTATCGGAGTTGGCCTCTGGCCCCATCACAGGTGCCTACAGGTGTTCAGGGCCCAGGGCCCACTGGGCAGCATGATCCAGGAGGCTGAGTAAAGGCAGCAGAGTGCACGTGCCTGGGCAGTCCGGTCAGGCAAGAACTGAAAGCATCGCATTGAGGGGCAAAAGTCTGGAGCCTTCTTGAATGCACACAGTGCCCCAACACCCTGAGACCTAGAGGCTGGCATCCCCGCTAGGGGATTTGGCACATAAAGAACAGTAGACGCTCAGTAATTGAGCTTCCTGGGTAAGCCTCCAAGGCCTGTTCCCAATCCCCAGGGCCCCGAGATCAGGAGATAGAAACATCATCCATTTTTCTACAAAGGGGGCTCCTGCCTAGCAGGGGGTGTCTGGAAGGGCAGGCTGGTTCAGTCTGCAGCCTGCCTCCACTGCAAGACATCGTGGCTGTGCCTGTGTCTCTGCATGTGCATGTCCCTGGCTGGGGGAACAGCCCGTTCTCAGTCTCTGGCTCTCTGGCACTGGCTTGTTGCATGATCTCGGGGGAAATCATGTGCCCAGTTCCTGGTGTTGTTTCCCCAGATGCAGGATGGCAGAAAAAAATGCTTGCCATCCACAGGGTGGCAAAGGCTTGGTGTGTTTACAGCAGGTGCATTTCTGCTCCCAGATGCCAGCTTTATGCCTGGAGGCAGGGTTGCTGGGGAAAGAGCTCTTTCCCATCATACGCTCACAGTGTGGAAAGGCTTAGAGCTGTGTGGTGTTGTAAGAGGCAGGGGAATGGTTGTGAGTTATTATATAAACTTCCACATGACCTTGGGGAGCCTCCTGTTTATGAACTCTCCTGTCTCTCTCTCTCTCTTTCTTTTTTTTTCTTGAGTTGGAGTCTTGTTCTGTCACTCAGGCTGGAGTGCAATGGTACAATCTTGGCTCACCATAACCGCCGCCTCCCAAGTTCAAGTGATTCTTGTGCCTCAGCCTCCTGAATAGCTGGGACTATAGGCATGCGCCACCATGCCTGGTTAATTTTTGTATTTTAGTAGAGATGGGGTTTCACCACATTGGCAAGGCTCCTCTCGAACTCCTGACCTCAGGTAATCAACCCACCTTGGCCTCCCAAAGTGCTGGGATTACAGGTGTGAGTCACTGTGCCTGGCTGTCCTTCATCTTTCAAGCCACTGACTCCTCCCCACCGCCTCTGCCCCAATTATTGAGATTCAGGACGTAAAACAACCTTTGGGCTGCCCTATTCTGAGAAGAAGCCTGGGAGAAGGGCATTATTTTCTTCTTGAACAATTTTATGTTACTTTATTATTGCTCCTGCTGTTTTAAAATGTTAGTGTTTTTAATTAATGTCATTTTATTGTGCCTGTTCTCTCAAGCTCTTCTCCTGAAGGGCACCGTTTTTGAAATCTAATAACTGAGTAAGTGGCTGGAGTGAGGAATAATGTATTAACATTTATAGAGCTTCTTGGATGAAAACCACTATACTGTAGGAAGCTCATTTTAGATTTAAGAAAAGAGCAATGTTACATTAAGATTCTTGCAAAAATAATCAATATTTCATTTCTTTCAAGTGGCTGGGGAAGTTTATCTAACTGTAATAGTGCACAACTTTCCCGAGATAATATCTTTATTTAAAATTGACTGCCGAGGACTTTGTAAAAAATTACCATTTGTGCCTGGACAGATCGTGAAGTCTGCAACACATATCACTGGCAGAAATTTAACTGCTGATTTGCACTAGTTGTAGGCTCTCACAGATAGCAAGGATGGATGGTAGCTGAGCTTTGTCTGATCTGATATCAAGACACATTGATAAGAGTTCTTCTCTAATAGACCTCAGATATCTTTTTGTTTCACAGTTTGAGAAAAGGTACATTTCTCCATGTAGTCTGTAAAATAACCACTGGAGCATCCGAGTTCTCGCAGCGCCCACGCGATGGCTGTACTTTGACTCGTGCCCCATTGCGGCTGCGTGTCTGGGACTGTTGGCACGGCTGGGCCAATGGTGAGAAAGGCACACTTGGAACTCAGCCTGCCCCGGGGGAGGTAGCAGCTCCCTCCCTGGATTCTGGTGCTCAGCACTCATGAAGACTCTTGTTCTCACTCTACAAACTTTTGAAGTTAGAGGAGAAGTGGAGCCAGGTCCTCAGGGACACAGGAAGCCACACATTTATATTCCATGCCTCCAGGCCTAGCCATTCTCAAAGTGTGGTCTGCGGACCGCTGGTTATTCCCGATACACTAATAGGTCAAAACTATTTTCATCATAATACTAAGATGTCACTTCTCCTTCTCACTCATTCTCTTGTGAATGTAGGGTAGAGATCCCAGAGGCTGCTACTGATCCCAGTCAGGCTACAGACTGACTGTGGAAGCAGAGCTGAGAATCCAGTTACCTCTTCATGTTAAGCCAGATGCTAAAGACATTTGGAAAATGTAAGACAGTGCTACTCCTTTCCCTAAATTTTTTTGTTGTAGAAAATACTCTTTTTGTAAAGACACATGCATGCGGATGTTCACTGCAGCACTGTTCACAATAGCAAAGACACGGAATCAACCCAAATGCCCCATCAATGACAGATTGGATAAAGAAAATGTAATACATATGCACCATGGAGTACTATGCAGCCACGACAAAGAACAAGATCATGACTTTTGCAGGAACATGGGTGGAGTTAGGGGCCATTAATTATCCTTAGCAGGGGCCTCCGTGAGGGTGGAGGGTGGGAGGAGGAAGAGGAGCAGAAAAGAAAATGACTATTGGGTCATGATCACCTGGGTGAAGAAATAATCTGTACAATAAACCCCGGTGACACAAGTTTACCCATATAACAAACCTATGTATGTACCCATGAACCTAACATAAAAGTTTTAAAAAAAAGTAGACAAAAGAAAACAAAATATACACTTTTTCTAAGAGTATATGATTTGCGTTAACATGTAATGTTTCTTTAAAAAATAATAAATATTTTACGTATTTCTCAGTTTTAACTTCCACTACAGTACACATTGATAGGCACAGCCTCCACACACAAAGGCCCTTTTGGGCTCCTTAATAATTTTAAAGGGTTTAAAGGTGTGCTGGGACCAAATCGTTTGAGAACCTTCCAACTAGATGCTGGTTTCTTGCAGTGAGGCAGAAACAGGGAGCCCGAGGGCCAGCCGCAGGGGCAGGTCTTTTCATCTCAGTTTACCCCACTGTAAAACATGAGGTTTGTGGGACTAAACTAACTTGAATGTTTTGAACTTCATTATTTTATTTTTTGATATTTTATTTTTTACTTTAAGTTCTGGGATACATGTGCAGAACGTGCAGGTTTGTTACACAGGTATACATGTTTCCTGGTGGTTTGCTGCACCCATCAACCCATTGTCTAGGTCTGAAGCCCTGCATGCATTAGCTCTCTGTCCTAAGGCTCTCTCTCCCCTCGCCCCCCCACCCCTGGCAGGCCGGGGTGTGTGCCCTTCCTGTGTCCAGGTGTTCTCATTTGAATTTTACTTTTTAACACAGCAGGGCCTCTTTTCAATTAAAATCTTTCTCAGGAAGCTGGGATGTGTAACAGATTACAGTAAACTCAAGCTTGGAGAGTGGGGGAGCTGGAACTGCCCCCCTACACCTCTTTTTCCCAACTGCCTCTTCTCTTGGAGCGCAGTCTGAAAACTACTGACCCAGAAGATCCTGAGGCCCATTCGCTCCGTTCCTCTCTATTCCAAGCCGCTGAAGGGTGGTGAGCCCAGGACACTCCTTACCTGCTTTGGCCGAGCTGGGATTCACAGGAGGCACTGGTGGGGTCGGGAGGCTGCAGGCGGGCACCCGGCTGGCGGTCAGAAGCGGTCCTCCTGAAGAAAGGCAGAGGGTTGAGGGCACACAGAGCTGCTCTCCGCTGTGAGTCTGCTCTCAGCCAAGGCCCTGAGCTGCTCCTCCAGCACCCTGCTGCGTTCCCAAGAGGGCCCCCAGCCTCTGCCGGGGACAGTGGGTGGGCTGTTGAGAGTGGCGATTTAGCTTCAAACAGAGAGGAGGTGGCCGGGCAGAATATGGAATGTGTGTTCCCAGACACTTTGGCTATGACTGCTTGGCTGTCTTCAGAGTCTCTTGTTTCCTTGTGCCCCTGAGACAGGGACATTGGGGGTGATGGGGAGGGAACTGAGGAAGGGGCGCTTGCTTCTGGGCGCTGGGTTGGAGGGCTGGAGACCCTGCACTGAGCGGGTGGGCTCTCGGGGGGAGGGCTGGGCAGCTTGGGCTGGCACGGTGGGGACGTTCGCCGCTTCGTGGTTGGTGGGCTTAGCACCCTGGGGCTCACCAGTGGGCTGGGAGCTCCAGGGCTGAGTGGTGGGCTGGGGGGTGTCTGCATAGCAGAGGGGCCTGGCTGGGCAGGTCTGTAAGAGGAGGGCAGGCTCCGGCGCCTCTTCTCTGCCTGAGGCACGCAGTGTGTCCTCGTGGGAGAGGCCTTTCTGCCCACGGGGGGGCTTCTCTCTCGGCTCTGCCTCAGTCTGGCCAGGCTGGACTCTGAGGTCCTGTTCTGTCCGGATGGAGGGCTGCAGTGGTGCCAGGCAATTGCCTTCCGGGGCTGCCTGTAGAGGTTGGCGGCCTTCTCTATCTGACTCGAAGTCCCACCCTTCCCCTCTGGGCTGTGGCTGGTGGCTGGTGGGTGGCTCAGGTCCAGGGCTGGCTTCCTGGGCTGGCAGCTGCTCTTGCCACTCCCTGGCTCTGTGCTGCGAGGCTTGGTGGGGCTGGCGGTGCTCTTGCTGGGCAGCAAGTCCGGGGGGCTCACAGAGGCCCTCAGCTTTGGGGAAGCCCATGTTCTCCTGGTGGGGCCAGCCTCTCCCGGTTCCTGGGTTTCCTCGGGAGAGCTCTCTGTGGACTTGCTGCTTTCCTGGGACTCCAGAGAAGTAAATGATTTGTCCATCAGGACTTCTAAGGGCGGTGGAGGGAGGTGCTCAGGGTTCCCCTCCACTTCACAGCTGAGCTCCCCACTCTTGGCTGCCGCTGCTTTAGGCAGAGGCGGAAAGATAGGTGCTAAGGGCTTCCAGCCTATGCCCATTTTGAGAGATTCTCTGCCTGAGGCTGGAGAAATTTGGGGCTTCGGATACAAAGGGACAAGCCCCCTGGACATGGGAAATCTGGGGGGCATGATGCTATTCCTAAGGTAGGGACTTTCCTCAGAGTCCTTGGAGTCCCCCAGCGTCCTCAGACTCTCCGTGGGACTGAAAGTTTCAATGAGCTTCTTGACGGATGTTCTGGTGGGACAGGTCCTGACGTTCCAGTCCTTGGCCCCGGCAGCCTCACTGACCTCTCCTGATAGGGTGGCATCTGGAAGCTTCTCAGCTTTGCCCTGTTCACCCTCAGGATGAGGACTGCATTTCTGCAAGATGCTCTTGTCCTGACTAGGCAAAATGCTGAAGTTCTTGGTGAGGGATGCCTTGAGCCTGCTGGTGGTGTTGCTTGGACCGACCCTGCAGGCGCCATTGGGCCACCCGGCTGCTGCTCTGGGCTGTGGAATCTGCTCCTGGCTCTGCCCCTGCCCTTTAGTGCCCAGGGCATAAAATGCCTCCAGCTTCCGACTGAGGTCCCTCTGGACCCTTCGCAGCTCCTGAAGGGTGGGGTCCTCCACGTGACTCTGGAGACACGGCTCTGACCGGGACCTCCTCTGCCTCTCGGGGGCCCTCCTGCTGCCACTGACCGTGCTAGGTCTTGGGGGGACCGCTGTTCTCCCCTCCTCCTCCTCCGACCAGTCCTGGTGCCCAGAGGGCACAGGGACAAACTTGATCCTTTCGCTGATTGCTTTCTTCATCTTCAGAATCATTTCCTGGGCCTGGGGGCTCCTAAGCCTCCTGGAGTGGGACTGAAATGGGCTTTCCCGGTCAGCAGGTGAAGATCTCGGCCTCGAATCTGGAGCTTTTACCTGCCATGCACACACACTCATGCTGCTCATTTCTTCTTCCTCTTCCTCTGAGCTGCTGTCCTCGCTGTCACTGAGAGATGGAGCGTCCATCAGTCTGGAGGTTTTGGAAAGATGTGCTTCCACAGGGACCCCAATCCCAAATGAATCACTTGAGGTGCTTGTCCCCAGCTCCAAAGGCAGGGAGGTGATAGTTTCTGGGTTTGTGCTGGAGAGGCAGGGGCTCTTTGCTTCGTCCTGTGCTTGTGGCTGAACCTTTGCCACAGAAACCCCTGAGAACAGGCAGTCCTGGGGTCGGTCTGAACCCATACAGAATGAACTTTGTTGCCAGGTGTGTCCTGACCGCCCGGCCTCTGTGTGGGGCAAAGTCACTGACTTCCATTCTTCAGGATCTGGTGCAAGGTCCCAGCTGGTTTGCTTGCCCAGCTTGTCCCCTGACTGCACGGACTCACTGTCAGCACCAATGCCACTGTCCTCCGAGCATAAGGGGAGACCCTGCACTCCAGGGTCGCCACAGCCACTCGCCAGGCTCTCTAGCTGCCCCAGAGCCCTCAGGACGCGTTCATCCACATTCTTTTTTGTGCTCAGCTTATTTTCCAAGTGGGTTGCGGTGGAGTGGAGGTAGCTGCTGGAGCCCTCCAGGAAGCTGCTGGTGAGCGAGGCCACCGTGCCATTGAGCCCCTGCAGCTTGCTGACTGTGTACTGCAGCAGCTGTTGCAGGAGGTCTGGCTGCTCCTGAGGCTCCCTTTTCTTCAAAGGCCAAGCCAGATCCTCCCTAACTTCCTGCAGGAGCGCTTCTCCATCCTTGGAGATCTCCCTCAATAGCTGGCTGATCTCCTCAAAGCACAGCAGCAGGAAGCTGACCATGGGCTGCAGCAGCTCCCGAGTCTGGGTGGCCTGATGGATGATGTGCAGAATTGCTTCGTATTTGGAGAGGCTGGAGTGCAGATAGGCATAAGCATGTTGGTGGGCCTTTACCAGCGGCTCCGGGAAGTCCACTTTGCCTTCAGACCCATGAGCAGGGTGGATGGTTTGGCGGCAGTGACTCTGTGTGCTTGACATGTGGCATTTTGGTGTCCTTTTCCATTTGGAAGCATCTTGGGTACCACTTTCCTCACTCTCATCTCCAGAAAGTTCTGCCCCTTGAAATCCATGGGAACCCTGTGTCTTGAATGGAATGTCTTTAGCCATGTGGCTTTGGGATTTGTTGGGCTGGGATGAAAAGCTTTTGGTTCCTGGGATTAGTCCTTCCATATCTTTCCTTTTGCCTGAAGCAGGATCTCTCATGAGCTGACAAAGACCTTTAGCTGTGGTTTGGTTCCTCCTGGAACGTGGCTGCTCCTCTGCCAGGCCCTCCCCAGCGTCATAGCAGGTGGAGTTTTTAACCAGCAGAGGGATGGAACCTCTTTCACTGCCACCCGGACCTCCTGGCCGAATGGCTTTGGGTTTTTTCAAGAACTGAATGCCACTCTTTGCAACGCTGTTTACGATGTCACTGTGTGAAGGTGTACAGCCCATGATTTCAGCTTGTATTCATCTTCCACCCACAGCCTTCACAATTTTCCAAGAATCATCTTTGAAATAGACACAAAAGGCAATCTTACTCGTCCTTCCGGGCAATTTTCAGGCCAGAATCCTTTGAATTCCAGGGTACAATATCCTAAACTTGGAACCAGCCTTCTGTATTTTCTTGGCCCAAACGTGAAGAGGGAGTGGTACCTGTCATCCTGTTGTTCTAAGTTTGGAATCCTCTGCTGTTAGTGAGCAGCGGGACAGTTCTGCAGGCCCCCAGTCTGGTGGATTACGGGCCTGTGTTCTGCTCCCATCCTGACAGATGTGGATGGCAAGTAGAGCTTAAGCCTATTAGGTTAATCATGCCCTAGCCAGTCAGCACTCACAGTGTGTTCTAATATAGAACTTCTCAGCATTTACTATCTTGGGAAGCGGATTATTTTTGCACGTGCTCATGCTTTTAATTCTGTTCAGACGCCTGCCATATGAAACCTAGAGAAATGAGCCATAATTGCAAAAGGCTCTGGAAGAGATGCATTTGTGGGAGAGAAGAGAGGGCTCGCTGATTACGGTCCCTGGAAGAGAAGTGACCTTCACGGTTTAATAAGGGCAAACCAGCCAAGTGTGCTTCAATCTGCTGTTATCAAGAAGACCCCAAAACATGTAATAGACAATAATTGAAGCAATGCATTGTTGTTTGTGTGGCTTACAAAAACCCCAGGACTCTAGTGATAGGGAAGCATCTCTAAATAAGATAGTGAGTGAAGAAGGCAAGGTTGCTTTCCTTTGCATTAGAAAATTGAGTTAGGGAGCAGGAAAGCCATCACCCCAATTTGGATGGGGACGGCAGGAAAAGTCACTGCCATGTAAAGCTCAAGGCTGGTCGCTACGCTCAAGAAGGCAGTGCTTTCATGGGAAGAGGTTTTTTTTTTTTTTTTTTTTTTTTTTTTAATAATTATACAACTCACCATCCTGTGGAATCAGTGGGAGCCCTGAGCTTGTTTTCCTGCAACTAGACCATCTCATCGGGGAGATGGGAGACAGTGACAGATCATCAGGCAGGAGATGCTCGTAGGAGCACGCAGCCTAGCTCCCTGGCAGGCAGAGTTCACAACAGGCCCCGAGCTCCTATGAGAACCCAGTGCCTCCTCTGACTGGACAGGAGACGGAGCTCAGAAGGGAATGTCCGCCTGCCGAGTGGTATTCCATTGTCTCTGCCAGCCACAATTCTTTCCTTCGCTCTATTCTTTTGATGAACATTGTGGGGGAAAAAAAAGTCTAGCTCTTGGTGTGCCTTTTTTTTTTTTTTTTTTTTTTGAAAAAGAATAAAGAAGAGGAAGAAAGAGAAAGAGGAAGAGGGAGAGAGGATGGGGGTATTGCTTTATTGCCCAGGCTAGAATGCAATCTAAATATGGGTATGCCTATAATTGTCCTTAATAACAGAGATATAAAAGAAAATGAGGGAAGAGAAGAACAAACAAGGAGCCGACCAACATTTCGTTTAAACTTCTAAGTTGATATGATGTGGTACTGATCTACGTATTCCTGTATTGGGTGCGTGTATATTTAGGATCTTTAGCTCTTCTTGTTGTTGCATTGATCCTTTTATCATTATATAATGTCCTTCTTTGCTTCTTTTGATCTTTGTTGCTTAATTGTAACTTCTACTTTTTATTTATTTATTTTAGCTCTCTGTTTGGTAGGTAAATCCTTCTCCATCCCTTGTTTTGAGTCTTTGTGTATCCTTGAATGTGAGATGGGTCTGGATGCAGCATACTGATGGGTTTTAGTTTTTTATTCAAATTGCCTGTCTATCTTTGGATTGAGGGATTTAGTCAATTTAAATTTAGAATTAATAATATATGTGAGTTTAATACAGCCATTTAATATTAGCTGACTATTTTGCCCATTAGTTAATGTAAATTCTTCATTATATTGATGCTCTTTTTGGTATTTTTTTTAGAAAGGCTGATACTGTTTGTTCCTTTCTATGTGTAGTGGTTCTTTCAGAAGCTCTTGTAAAGCAGGTCCTGGTGGTGATGAAATCTCTGAGTGCTTGCTTATTCACAAAAAACTTTATTTTTCCTTCACTTGTGAAGCTTAGTTTGGCTGGATGTGAAATTCTGGGTTGAAAGTTCTTTTCTATAAGGATATTGAATATTGGTCCCCACTCTCTTCTGGCTTGTAGGGTTTCTGCTGAGAGATCTGCTGTAAGTCTGATAGGCTTCCCTTTGTGGGTAACCTGACCTTTCTCTCTGGCTGCCCTTAGTATTTTCTCCTTCATTTCAACCCTGGTGAATCTGACGATTATGTGCCTTGGAGTTGCTCTTCTTGAGGAATATCTCTGTGGTGTTCTCTGTATTACCTGGAGTTGAGTATTCATCCTGCCTTACTAGGTTGGGAAAATTTTCCTGAATAATGTCCTGAAGCGTATTTTCCAGCTTGAATTCATTCTCTTCGTCACATTCAGGTACACCTATCAAGCGTAGATTAGGTCTTTTCACATAGTCCCATATTTCTTGGAGACTTTGCTCGTTCCTTTGTATCCTTTTTTCTCTAATCTTATCTTCTTGTTTTATTTCATTAAGTTGGTCTTCGACCTCTGATATCCTTTCTTCTGCTTGATCAATTTGGCTGTTAAAACTTGTGCATACTTCACGTAGTTCTCGTATTGTGTTTTTCAGCTCCATCAATTCACTTATACTCCTCTCTAAATTGTGTGTTCTTGTTAACATTTCATCAAATCTTTTTTCAAAGTGCTTAGTTTCTTTAGATTGGTTTAAAACAAGTTCTTTTAATTCACAGAAGTTTCTCATTATCCACATTTTGAAGCCTGCTTCTGTAATTGGAACACACTCGTTCTCCATCAAGCCTTGTTCCGTTGCTGATGAGGAACTGTGATCCGCTGCTGAGGGAGAGGCGTTCTGATCTTGGGTATTCTCAGCCTTTTTTGGCTATTTTCTTCCCTTCGTTGTAGATTTATCCATCTGTGGTCTTTGTATTTACCGTCTTTGTAACTGGTTTTCTGAGTGGACGTCTGACTTATTGATTCTCAGCGCCGAAATCTGAGCAACCCACTGCGCCGACTAAATCAGCGGCATTAACATTGATGGTGCTTTTTGATTCTGCACCAAGAACCGACGCTCCGGGGCACTGGCAAAACCACCTCGCCGGTCACAAGAGTCGCGCTGGCAACCCGTGGGGCTCCTCTGCTGGGAATCTCCTGGTGCGTGAGCAACAAGAATTCATGTGAAGGTGTGGCGTCCTCTCGTTCTTTGTGCTTTCACTGGGAGCTACAATCCCGAGCTGCTAGTGATCAGCCATCTTGGATCTCTCCCCCTGGGAAGAGGTATTTATGCAACTTTCTTCCTAGGAAAACAAGCTAAAATTGGGGAGTGGAGAGCCATTTTGTTATTAGGAGAGGAACTCTAGGGGAAGCCCATCTGTCTGCTCAAGCTGAGCATGGGGATCCTGCCTGTGGCTAAGGGTAGCAGCTGCCTATTTAAAAACTCCTTGTCGGCCGGGCGCGGTGGCTCACGCCTGTAATCCCAGCATTTTGGGAGGCCGAGGCGGGTGGATCACGAGGTCAAGAGATCGAGCCCATCCTGGTCAACATGGTGAAACCCCGTCTCTACTAAAAATACAAAAAATTAGCTGGGCATGGTGGCGCGTGCCTGTAATCCCAGCTACTCAGGAGGCTGAGGCAGGAGAATTGCCTGAACCCAGGAGGCAGAGGTTGCAGTGAGCCGAGATTGCGCCATTGCACTCCAGCCTGGGTAACAAGAGCAAAACTCCTTCTCCAAAAAACCAAAACAAAACAAAACTCCTTTTCAACTTTATTTGCTGTCAGTAAAGTCTAGAACAAGGGTTTGGCCTAGAAAGACTGGAGTTTGAATCCTGACTCTTTCTCCTGTTAGTTGGGGGAACTTCTGAAAGTTTTTTTTTTTTTTTTTTCTTTAAACTTCCCTGAGGCAGAGCTCATCTTTGAAATGAGGATCATGGCACTTGCTTCACAGAGCTATTGTGGTGATTAAGTCAATTAATACTTGGTGAGTGCCTGACCCAGTGCTTGACCCAAGGTAGCTACTTAAAAACATGCAGTTTCAGCCAGGTGCAGTGACTCATGCTTGTAAATCTCAGCACTTTGGAAAGTTGAGGCAGGCTGATCATTTGTGCTCAGGAGTTCGAGACCAGCCTGGGCAACATGGTGAGCCTTTGTCTCTGCTAAAAATATAAACCTTAGCTGGGGATATTGGCACACACCTGTAATCCCAGCTACTCAGGAGGCTGAGATGGGAGAATCACCTGAGCCCAGGAAGTTGAGGCTGCAGTGAGCTGTAATAGAGCCACTGGAAGCCAGCCTGGACTTTGGAAGTGAGACCCTGTCTTAAAAAAAAAGGAGTTTCTTACTCCTTTCCTTCTGGAAGCTAGGGTGCTTATTAACAATGAAAGTCATAAGAATTTCATTGGTTTGCATTGCTTTGTTCCTGAGTGGTCTGGAAATAATTGCCTATGATGTGCTTAGAGCCCTCTGAATTTGGTGCTCTTTTTGCACCCCACCCCACCACCTCCACCCTGTGCTCAGTCCACCACTGCCTCAGGATTTTTCTAAGGCCTCATTGTATAATCTCTCTGCTCGCAAACACAATGATCCCCATTGTCTGCAGGAGGAAGAGGGGCTTTTATTTAACCATTTCCTATTTTGGGGCATCTAGGTTGTTGCCAATTTTGAAAATTTCCAAATAGGAAAACATTGCATTGAGCATCTCTGAGCGTCCCCCTGAAGTTGCTGAGATTGGAGTTGCTATTCTGGCTTTCCAGTCTTCCTTTCTTCCTCCTTAACTCCGTTACAACCAACGAACGCATCACCGTGGGTATCAGGATGTCTCGGAACAGGCAGGACTTAGAGCTGCCTCCTGTGAAGGCTGCAGACTGGCCACTGGGGCTGTGTGCAGCCTGCTGCCTATCACAGCCTGATGCCCCAGAGTACATCATTAATAAACTTC